TACCTCGTTTTTATAATTGTCAGCGATCCGCAACTATGAAAACAAGCCGCGAGGCTCGAATAATCGTATCTTCTCTTCCGAAAAGATTTTTGTTTGCGAGCTGAAGGTTAAATTGGAAGGAATTTCCTGTAGTTTTGGAAGGGTGGTTTCCCAACCTGGTAAAGAAACAACACCAGGATCAGTTTTCTACGACTCGGAAGGCCCCCCAAAATCGTCCACAATGACTAAGGCAACGGATGCCAGGATTTAGTTCAGATTTACCCCATGATTTACACTGTCCGCACGAGGACAGTGTCCAGGAACCGAGGTAAAAGATACGAAGATCGACGCATCGCTGCGGGAAGCTCAATCGGCACCCCGTGGGACACCGTGAAAAATTCGAGGACCGATAGTATCGCCAGGGGAGGACAGGGCGCCGCAGGTTGATCATCTTCGAGTTAAGGCCGAGAAACAATGGCTGCCGTGTACCTCGGGAAATCCTTTATTTTTTTCTGGAACGTCTATCTTCCGTCTGGCATCTGCCGTGTCGCCTCACCATTCTTCGTCCCATTGTTGCCGCCCGGTCTCTAATGCCTGTTTGATCGTTCCTCGATCTCTCGTCGGGCATCCTTCCGGTTATCCCCGCTCGCCGCGCGGATCCTTCCTCGATCCATTCTCGATCCTTTAGCCGGCGATCCGCATTTCGACTTATGCCGGCAATTAAGAATAATTCCGGCCTGTTCTCTGGTCCCGATAGCCGAAGCGTGCTGTAGAAACGATAAGAGGACACATTGGCACCGAATGAATCATGTGTGCGATAGAACGTGTTAAAATAGAGACTCGTTCGAGCAACACGACGGTACAAAAAGTGTATCAACAGGGCCAAATGGCTCGTTCAAGGCTGCTCGTTTCACAACAACCGGCCGAAACTATAAAGAGAAGCTCCTCCGCGGGAACACAATCGCGGTCTCGACGATCACAGTTCCAAGGCCTTTCTTTGGGCTCCGAATAAGGTCTATCACGCGGAGATCACGAAGATCGCAGAGTTTTCCGTGACGGCCGCGTGTTGAGAACCGGATCTATCAGCGATATCGCGGACAGATAACGGCGAAAAATAACCGCTCGCCGGCACGCATCGCGTTCGAACGTTAATTTCACTCGTATCTTGTCACGACCAACGCTAACGGACCCCCCTGATCCTCTTATCCGGGGCCGCCGATACGGCGCACGGACGTCGATGGTTGTTTTCCGACGTTCGCCCGACTCGTCCCGCGATCCGTTTCTCGAACACACGCAGATTCGCCAGTAAAAATCGTTCGATCGATAAGCGAACACGAAAAGAAGTTCGATCGCACGCGATTAGATCTCGTATCGTCGACAAGGACGGAAATAACAATTACGACGGTTCTACGGCCGCTGAGAACCCCTGGGACTGATAGCAACAGGTGGATCTTGATTCCAGCGCGTGCTTGTTTACCGACAAGCACCAGACGAGTGAAGTCTGCCTCCCCGCGAGATTAGATTGCCGTTCGATTAGCGGCTCGACGTCGAGGCTCCCCGCCCTACCGTTGTCGTCGACGATGTTTCGGAAATCTTCTGCGAAGATCCGCTAATTTTTCAGATGCCGCGTTTCTCCTCGAATGATGTCCGCGCAATTTGAAGCGGATCAAAAGAAAGCCTCGGACGATTTTCACCGAAGATCCACAGTCTAGTGATATCGAGGGGGGGGGGGGAAGGGGGCGATTTTGGTCCCCCCTTTTTCTCGGACCTTTTCCGACCTTCTCCAACGGCTCGAAAATTTCTCACGCGCCACCGGGTTCCCGCAAGCTCCGGGAACATCCCGGGTTTTGTTCGCGGGGCTCCAATTGTCGAAGAAAAAGCGGGGCGATATAGCCTCGTTCGACTTCTCATTCAAGCCGAGTAGGATCGTTTAGCCTACGGGATGGATGGTCGTCTGCCTTGCGCATCTGTTGCGTCCGGAGGAAATGGTTTTCCTCCGTTCCATTGAACTTGATCGCAACCTTGACACACTGTCGCTCATCATCATTTAATGCGAAGCCTTTAGCTCGTGCACCGCTGGCCACCGAAACGTTGTCTGCTCTTTCCTCATCTCGGGCTATTATAATTAGCCAGCTGGTTATTCCAGCCAGTTATTGTAGCTGGCTCACTAGTCATTAACGCTGAACCTACCGAGCCGATCGATTTCACAATTTCGATTGTAAAGTCGCTGAAATTGTGATACGAATAATACGAATAATAAATAATATAAAGCCGCTGAATTCGATAGCGATTGAATGAATGTCTCGATCGAAACGAACGTTATTGTTTGCGTGTAAGACGCTACATAGCTGTTTCTCCAGACCAGATATTTTATCTCGTTCCAACTTGTTAAGACAAGAGTTTCATAGAGTTAATTATAACCAATTGAATTGTGTGTTCGAACGGAATGTTCGTTACTGTAAATAGATTATGGGCATCGCTCATCTCGTTTTCGTACACTTTCAGAATATAACCCTTTGCACTCGACCGGTGACACTAAAAATTGCTGTACCATTTTTTAAAAGAATTTTCTTACTTTTGCGTTCAATAAATTGTTAAGAAATAGAAACCTTCCGTAAGCAAACAGGTTAAATTTCCAATGCATCAAATAAAAGCAACCCTATCGAATGGAAATACTGTAGTTTGGAGCAAATGCTTTCATTTTCGGGTTGAAACAGCCTCGACTGCAAAAGGTTAAAAGTAAATTTAAAAGCTCTGTATAATTTTGGTATAATTGTTGCCATAGTCTTTAACATTTTTGTTACGCTGAAGAGTCTAGAACTCGCATATATAAATAAATTCGAAGTAAATCGCAAGATAAATCGTAAGATCTAAACAAATACAGCCTCTTCATCGTTAAAAAATATTTAACTATTTAACTTTCTAGACTCGATAGGTTATCATTAAACTGTTCTATTCAATTCTAAAAGTGTGTCCTAGCGTACACTTTACCGCCGAAGCGTCGAAGACCACGTACAACAAGATTTGTACGATCACCTTGAGAGGTTATTTCGGCATAACATTTTGGAACAAAGTTCCGTCCCGCCCGCCGCATCGCCGCACGGTAAAGTACGCGCTCGCGAAGAACAAAGTCCCTGGCATCTCCGAGAAGCGGTGTCGTCGCGTTATCGCCCCCCGGTGTTAGCGAGCTGCCGCGAATGGATGCTCGCTGGCTGAGTCAACAGATCGAGCGGGCAGAGGTGAGACTTCGCTGTCGCGAAGAGGATTCCGCCGCGGCCCCCTGCCACGGTGTTCCGGCGGTTTAAAGTCCGGTTTCGAAAGTCCGCGGCAAGGTCCTCGCGAACGACAGATCGATTCGATTCCACGGGATAAAGATCGTCTAGCGATAAGGATCTGCACGGACGGCGGAGATCGCGCGCGAAGGCGGACCCGGGTGTCGCGGATCGTTCACAAACAAAATCCTTAAGCCGGCGGGGTATCGAAAGCGCGTCGCGAATCGCCGGATCTCCGCCGCGTTTCGATCGCGTTCTCTCCCACCGACGCGGCATTTCGGATGGACGATCGCCCGCGAGGTGCGGCCTCGCGATCGGCTGACGTCAAGCCTCGGGCCGGCTATCGGTCTCGGAGGAAAAATTTCGCGTTACGTAAGCGGATTCGTCAGCGACCAAGGCGAAGACGGTGGCTCGCTTATCGCGCGCGCCAGGCCGAGCCGGCGCGGCAGCTGAACGAAAATTGGATCCGTCTCGCTGACAGATGCACTCGAGGGACCGGTCGGCAGAGTGACCGGGCCCCGATCGTTTCGCGCGACCACCGATTGGCCCTGTCCCCTTCGGCCTTGAATTTATTCCGTCCCCGGCCGGCTGACCGTCGCGCGCACGGACAACCTTGCGCGGTCCCGAAACGATCCAGCGATCAATGATCGTCGCGCGAGCCCGTATCGTTCCCCGCGAAATCGATACGGCCGCGCCTGTTATCGCGCCGCGAGCAGCTCGATACGTTCTCCTGCGGCGAGCGCACGGTACGTACATTGCGACCGATGCGAGACGCGTTCATTTATCTAGTTGAAATTTATGGGAATTTAATGCCAGGGTCTTCCGTCGTACATGATCTTGCAGTGCCCGAAGACAGCCGTACGTGTCAATTCTTGATCAACGTCGGTCGCCTTGGTAGGTGCGACCGCACTTCCTGACTCCGTGAAAACACTTTCGACTTCTTCCACGAAATTTCGCGGCCCAACTTTTAACTTTCCGCTCGCGAAAACGCGCGTCTTTCGAGCGCAATTCGACGATCCGTGGAACACGTGTTCGCGCGTTTATGAAAACAAAAATATCGTCGGGGACAGCGCGAGCCGCGAGTCCTCGAAGAGTCCAATTTATCGATAAGATCGAGCGAGCGAACTTTGCTCGGTTCGATTCGACGAGCAAATATATTCGAATCGAAGCGTCCGTCCTCGCCGAGGAGCGAATCCGGAGCACGGCGAAGAAAAGTCGCGCGTGCAACAACAAACGTGCATTATTTTCGATCGTCGCGTTTCCTGCCGATCGAAGCCAATCGCTCGCTCGATCATCCCCGTGTGATCGTTTCCTCCAAAAATGCAGCTTTCCATAAAAAGGCGCGGTGTCGCGTCGCAGTCGGAAATCTTCGAAAAAGCCGCGTAGCAGCGGCGGCTCGGCGTCGCTCGGTTTCCGCGAAGTGCGCGTCAAACAGGTTGTCTGTTTAGCGCGTTGACGCGCAGTTTAGCTGGCGTCGGCACGTTACCTAAAATTTCGGCACGTGCACGCGAAAAGCGTCTCTCCACGTGACAAGTAGGTGGTCTTGCGTCGAAAGCGGATCGGCGCGGCTCCGCACCGACGGTGCATCCTCGCCGAGTAGGAGGCGTCGACGCCGCGGAGCGAGCGCGGCGATTACGCGTTATCAGCTCGGCGGCGGATGGTGGGACGGTGGGGAGAAAGAGCGGGGCGGGCGGGCGGCCGGGTATCGGCGACGATAGCGCGGCTATATATAAGGCTGCCGGCTGGTCGTTGATATTAGTTCGACGTTCGTTACGGTGTTTGCGCGCCTGCAGCCGTTCGGTGTCCGTCCGCGTTGTCTCCGATCGCCTCTTCTGGTTCTCCCTTTAGCCGTCTCTCTGTTCGGCCGGCAGCGTCCCGCGGCGACCGCAAATAAACGTTCGTTCGAGCGGTAGTTGGCCACCGAGATACGCCATTGACCGACGTCCCCGGGGGTGATTCCAATCATTGGACGCGTCATAGCCGTGCCTTAGGAGATCCCCGTTGCCAGATAAGAAGCGCGGACCGCGATCGCTCCGACGTGATAACAGACGAGCGGAACACGATGGACGCGGCGAGCATCATCTAGCGACGGCTGCGACCCATTTCCGGATCTGCGGCCCGATCCCGCGGGACACAACCCGTGTGCTCGGCCCATTCGGCCTTTTCCGAACACGTAGAACGGACTGGAACGGCGAACGGTGACGGTCCTCGCGAGGAAAGCGTGGTCACGTTTGATGAACTTGCCGCCGCGGGCTTGCAGCAGCCTAGTTATGTTCTCGATCGAGTACAGCAAGCAATTCCTGAGCTACCGTATACTCAAGTCGAACCGGTTCAAATACATCTGACGATACGGACTCGGACTTGGAGTGATAAAAGGTGCGCGCGCTGAAGGGGGCGAGTGTGTGTATGTGAGCGTGGACGACTTGCAGGGATATACGGTGTTGTATGCTCAGGATCGGCGGAGGCTTGCGCAGGTTTCGCAAGACCTGGAACGTCTTGTCCGCGACCGTCACCGATGCTAGGAAAGGCCCGGCTTCCGCAGCTGATCGCAGCCGGGAACGCCTGAACGTGTCGTGCCATCGACATCGAATGACAGAGGCCCCTCCGAGGTACCTCTGTTAATCGAGGCTTCGTTGAGAGCGAGAGCAATTTTGCAGAAGCTTCTCGTAAGGAAAGAGGCAGAGAGGCAGGAGAGAGAGGAGGAGGAGGAGGAGGAGGTCTGCTCGTTAAACCGCGGCGCGGCCAAGGAGAACACGGCCACCGGGTTTCCACGATTCCTATAATCGGGTTATTAAACGCGCTAATTAAGGAGCGGGCTCCAATTAAGTCGAGAGCGAGAGTGAGAGAGCGAGGGAGGGAGGGAGAGAGAGAGCGAGCGAGCGAGCGAGTACGGGGGAGGGTGTCGAAGGGGGAAATTTGCACGCGTTTGGTCGACGCAGAGATTTGGTCGGAACGAAGGAGCACAAGAACAAGGGAATAAAGATGATCGTTTACGTTCCCGGTAGAATGCCAAGCCACGTTGGTCCGTACGGCGCCGCTCGTTACCCGGGCACCCTGCTAGGAGCAGTGCCGGGTTTTTACAGTCCGATTTCCGGTTATTCGACCAGCCCGAACTCCAGCTACTACGGGAGCCTCAGCCTGCATCAGCAACCACCGCTGGACCTTCCGGTTTGGCCGCGAAGGATGCCGGTCGAGGAGGAACTGGGAACGTCGCCGACGGCCACCTTGCCAGGACTCGGAGTCTCGCCGGGTGGCCTGGCGAACACGGGACCTCCGAGTCCTGCGCACTCCGACTCGGATGCCTCCAGCTCCAGCCTGGAGCTCGGCTCCATCCGGCGAGGCGAGAACGCCCAGCTGAAGTGCAGGTATGCTTCGATTCATGTACGTTCGATTCCCTCTGAAACCCCTAATCGAGAGACACTAGACAAGTGCCTCCCCTCTCCACCTTCTTCATTTTCTAAAAAAACTAAGCGACACGTGTCTTTTATACCCCCGCCAATTCGGCTTGAAGGAGCGAAATCCACCCCCGAAGGGCGCGCATTAAAATGGCAGAGAATTCCGTATCTCCCAATTAAATTGCAATTGTTCTCGTCGCACGCTAAACTTTTGCAAACCGAATCACCGTCGATGCGAAAAAGAAATACGCGTCGCTTAGCTTTCCGCGTGCTTCGACATGCTTGCTATCGAAAATAATCGGAGGGAGACACTTCACCCAGCGTTCCTTGTTAGCGTTAGATCTCTACCGACCTTTTAACACGCCGCGGTTAAAATAAATTCCGTCCAACGAGCCGAGTCCGATCAAATGCGCACGGTTGGGAAACGCTCAAGTTTTCCGACCCGAAGAGGCGAGAACTTTGACCTCCAATCGGGCGAACACGTATCCCCGCGCAATCGGTTTCGTTCACCGTTGACTCGCTCGTCTCGTTGGCCCGACCAACGAGTGTTCACAGCCAGGCCAGTTTTATTGCCGGATCGGGAGACGGCTTCTCTCCATTCCCCGACGCGCTTCTCGCGCCGAAGAAGAGAAGAAGAAGAAGAAGAAGTCTAATCAGATAATCCTCTGTTATGAAACGCGTGTATCGAAGAGGAAACGTAATCTCTTGTTCGAGAGCTGTTTACAACCGAAAATATTCGCTCGCCGCCACGAGTTTATCGGGATTTCCTCGTTCCTAGACTGCGCAGCGTTTGCGCGAGACAGAAACCTTTATCGATTACGGCAAACCGGAATTCGCCTGCAAAATTACGAAGTTGCAACAGCTCGAATATGCCGACGAGTTCTTTCCAATTCCATTATTTTAGCGTACCCCTCCTCTGGACACGGAGTTTGCGCGGAACATGCGAATTCTTAGACAGAGATTTTATTTTATCACGAGATATTATTTATTGTCGGATCGCTGACATATTATCGCTTGTCGGATCGTTGGAAAAATGTCCAAAGCAGTTTAACCAAACCAAAAAGAAAAAGATCGCGACGATCGTGGCTCGTTCCGCTAAAAAATGCTGCCCCAAATTCGGTTACCGTTTCGAATTCGGTCCTCTAATTCCCGTCGCAAACATCTGTTTATCGGTGCATGAATAAAACAGTTGTCTAGTATATTACGAAGACGAGCGATCCACGGGATGCCGAAGCGGATCGCGCCTATCGTATCGTCTGTTGTTTACTCGCGGCGCGGATCATAGTCTGGCAGATACCGGCGCCGCTAAAATCGCGCCGTCGAAACGTTATCTAAATTGAGCCGCGGATTTTTGTTGCGACGACGTTCGCAGTCTCGGAATAGCCGGGAAAGCGTGTATCGTCTTCTTATCTCTCTCTCCCTCGCGCGTCGCTGGGACGACGCGGCACGCACCCGCCTCCGGATCCGGCTTTCCAGGACCTCGCCGGCGCGGCGTCACCGCGGACAATTTCGCGAACGGGCCCAGACGATCGCGGCCGCGCGGATTCGTTGGCGAGGTCGTGAACGGGAAATCGCGCGTATCTGCCGTTAATTTATCTGCGTCGGGGCGCGTCCGATTCTGGTCGCCAACCGGTTTCCGCGCGCCGGTATCGGTCCGCGGACATTTCCGCGAGGATTCGAAAGGTCTCGCGGCTGCGGCGACGTAACTGTGAACGTATCTGTCGACGGTTTTCACGACGCGGTTTCAGATTTGCTGGATTCGAAGGAGAGTCCACGTTCCGTCGACGATCCTCCGACGACACGATTCTGCGAGCTTGCGCGCTCTGTTTCGGACCGGCGACGATTTCGGACGGATCATCGAGCCGCGCGGTTGCGACCGGTTTATCGCGGAAGCTCGGGGACGCGCGCGTTTTGCATGCGGCAGCCTCGTGGTCTAACGAAACGACCAGGCGGCTGTTATCATCGGTGGCCGAGCCGGAATCAACACGCCGCGGTGATTAGATCGCTGCCTTTTTCCTTCGAGCCCGCCCGCCCGCGACCGATAGATAGATCTCGCATTATTACCGTCCCCGTGGCGCGACGACGGGCCTGTTTGAGCTAGCGATTAGAGGCCAGTTACGAGTATCGGCGCGATATCTCGGAACGCGATCCGCGGACGTCACGCGGCTCCGCTCGGGAAAGCGACTTCCGCGAACCTCGGAGGGCAGCCGCTTGGAAAGTGCGCAGAAATCGTCGGCGACTCGACAGGGTGGTCTCGGCTCGATGCGAGGATCGATGGATCCGCCAATCGAGTCGTCGCGACGTTTACCTTGATCCGCGACCTTTCGATCGGCGGGCTCCGCGATTCGCGGAACAACCGATGCCGTTGACTGGAATAGCAGCGAACGCTCGGTGTGTCTAGATAAACTAGTGTCAACCGGCGGCAATTGCACAATGAATGGAATTGGTATCAATTGGCCCGACGCTCTTGACGCAAATCGCTCGCCGATATTAGAGCCCGGCGTCTCTCTTCTTCTTCTCTCTGTCGGCGGCTCTCTATCCCCGGGGCGAGAGAGCGGTCGCCGTGGCGACCGACCACGGTGAATGTTTACCCGCCCGGAACTCGCGAGGATATGCGGCGATCGATCAAAATGCAACGATCGTGCCGGCGCGCGTGTCGGTTATATTTAGCGTTTCTCGGTAAATGAGCGACAGGGGAAACAAACGGTATAAATAGTCCGATCGAGCACGAGGCGGGCCCCGGCGGGCTTCGATTGGCCTTAAACGATCGCAATCGCGCCTCGCGACCCGCCCGGATCGACCCGCGATCGGTCCGGGATCGGCCTGTCGCCGACGAGCAAAGATCAATACCCTTAAACGGCTAGCGCGACGCTGCGCGCCGCGTTATCCGACCGACCATATTGAAACCGCATTCCCGGCGATTAGGAGCGATCGTTGATATTTCACCGACCTGTTGCAGATGGCAGAACTGCGGCCGATGGTTCACGTCCTTGGAACAGCTCGCGGGACACGTCGCCCGTTTGCACGCCGCGCCAGGACTCCGGGGGCTCTTCTACTGCGGATGGGAGGGCTGTGCGAGAGGCGAACGTGGATTTAATGCGAGGTGAGCGCTCCTGTTCCGCCGAATCGAATAATGCGGTGCCCGAATTTTTAAACGCGCGCATCTGTAAATTAGAGAAAGTTGTCTATGAACTGTGCTTCGAGTCTGCTTTAGCTCATCTCAAAGACGAGAAATATTTGCAGTGGCTTTACGCGTCAAGCAGATACTAGGTCTGTTTTAGCGACTTATCTCGAACAAGGCAAATATTTGTATCGCTATTAGTGGACCGCGAATGCACGTGTGTGTCTGCGGTCCGATAGAAGCCTTCCTCTACCTCTACGATAACGACGCGAATATGCTAACACCGATCGTTCTCCTCAGATACAAGATGTTGGTCCATGTCCGTACGCACACGAACGAGAAGCCTCACCACTGTTTTCAATGCGACAAGAGCTTCAGCAGGGCGGAGAACCTGAAGATCCACGCGCGGTCGCACACCGGCGAACGCCCTTACGTCTGTCCGGTGGAGGGCTGCAACAAGGCCTACTCAAACTCCTCCGACAGGTTCAAGCACACGAGAACCCACGCGGTCGACAAACCATACTGTTGCAAGGTGCCCGGCTGCCCGAAACGGTACACCGACCCGTCCTCCCTACGGAAACACGTGAAGACGTACAGACACTACGTGAACAACAACGACAAGGGCCAGGAGAAGAGCTTCGACGAGAACAACTCGCAGGAGAAGACGAGGTTCGACACCACCTCGCCGGAGAAGCAGAGCAGCACGACCAGCTCGGAGTCGGACAAGAAGGACAGCAGCATCGAGAGCAGCGCGTCCGGGTCGAGCCCGAAGGCGTCGAACAGCTTCGAGGAGCAGCGGAACTTCGTGGAGTGGAACAACATGTACAACCTGCAAGAGCAACAGCGTAAGGAGCAGGTCGATCAGATCACGCCGAGGAAGCCGTACGAACAGGACGTGAAGATCTACCCGAGGATCTACGACGACAACTACATCATACCTGACAGGATCCAAGTGAACCCGATGTACGTCACCGGCGGCCAGATGATGAAGGAGAGCCCGCCGGTGTCGTCGCCGCATACCAGTCCTCATCGCATCCCCGACCCTATGCCCCGCATCGGGATGCAGTCGACGCCGATCAAGACCGAGGAGCCCGTCGAGTACCCGAGCAAGGTCAGCACGGTCGATTACAGGAACATCGAGTCGATCGTGAACAGCGCGCCCAGCAGAAAGGAGAACAAGATCGGCTGCGACCCGATCAGGCATTCTGTGATAAAGCGGGCCGAGGACCTGAAGATGGAGGTGGAACAAACGCCGGTCCAGGAGGAGCTCTGCCAGGATACCAACGACTGCTGTTGCCGTCACAAGTGCTGCGCCCACAGCAACGACAACATCCTCGAGAAGACCAAGATCCTCTCCGACCTGATCCTGAAGGCGCAGAACCCGCTGTTCAGGCAGCTGCTCGGGTCGGTCGACCTCCAATACGGGCTGCAGAACATGTGGGGCAATATCGTCGACACGAACAACACCTGCGGGCAGGATCTACGGGTCAAGATCGAGAACTCGGTGGAGATGGACCAGGATTTACCATTGGACCTGACGATCGACAAGTAGCTACACGCTGCTAGGGCGACGGTCGAGCCGCAAGGCTTCGGATCGTGGTGGGTCCACGTCCTGCTCAGGGTATGAGAGGGTCTATTTGGCCTTGGGATCTGTTCATTCGGCTCAAACTACCGGCGGCGGGCTGCGTTCGGCGTTCTCGAGGTCGTCCTCGGGCAAAGTGCCTTGATACTGTTGATTGCTTTGGGTATCAACAAACAGTAGTCCGTCGCGATAGAGAGTTATCGGTTGTCGTTATCAGCCGGGGACGACCTGGAGCCAACGCAAACAAGCGCGAAAGGGAACCTCGGCCCGCCGTCGGTTACGCGGAAAACGTTTGGCCGTTCGTCGAACGCTGAATTTCTTGAGGGGGGGAAGTTAATCGGGAGCAACGGACCGGTGTGGGAGACGGGTGGTCGACCTCGAAGAAAACACTGTTTTAATCAGACTGCGAAACCAAATATATCGTAATACGTTTAATTCTTTCGTCGTAGGGCAGCGATAGTGGGCGGGGGAAACAGCTCGGAAGAGAATTGCTCAATCTTAACTCGTTAATGCCTCTCTTACAAGGGAACCAAGTGGACGCGCACTCACCGACGCGGTACTCTTCGGAACGTCGCGCTACGATCATTCGGATCGATACCGTTAAAATAGCAAAAAGCCGACTACCGAGATGCTGGCGAAATGCGGCCTGCGTGTTTAGTTGTCGCATGAAAAATGTGGGAAGATAAAATTGTTCGAGTAGTCCGCTATCGGTAAGTACGGGTTCGCAGTGTCTAGTGAGTAAACAAAGCCTCGGTGATCTAGATTTACGGGTAAACTCGACGAATCGATTGGTAAGAAAAAAAAAAGAAAAGAAACGCAAAATAAGAATATCGTACCAAAACGTGGAAATAGGTAAGGGATAATAACAGTAGTATGGTTGTACACATGTGGCACCGAAATCCTACGCAACACACAGGCAGACGACAGACTTCTGTGGAATGGCGCGTCGAAGCTGTCCCGGTATCTTAATACTGAACACCAACCAATGTATCATATGTATATAAAGATATATTATGTGTAAGCAGTTGTCAGAGAAGATAAGAAGACGCGCACGGCGGAGAGTATGTGCATTTCTCTGTGACGGAAAGAGGAGTGTGTTTGAAACGACGTGAAAAATTATCCAATAAAAAAAAAGCACATTATTTATGTAAAAATGGTTTTTATTCTGTTCTTTTGTGTATACCGAACGCCCCTCCCCCTCTCTCATCCTCTCCCACGGTATCTGAAATATATATATGTATATATATATATAAAGCTCTTCCCGAGCGGCCCGCTGTTCAAGGCTCCATCGGTAACAATTGCATAACACTCGATGAGCCACAATATAATTACAATTGACAACATTATTTCCTACGATCGGCAAACCGTTCGCAATCGTGAAAATATATACTACGCATCGTGTGCGAGATGGGAACGAAATAAATTATGGCACCGCAACCTCGGGGGTGCAAACAGGGTCTTCGCGTCTTGTCCGTGTTTCTTGCGTCGTTTATCGCCGACGATAACCATAATCGTGTTATCAGCGTAAACATTTTCATGGAAAGAAAAAGAAATGTTCGGGTGTAATTTATGATACTAAATATAACCCTCACGATATACTGTGACTCATTAAAAGCTCGGACATGCTGTCTTTGATAATCTTCAAGCTTTCTAAGTCGGCGTGTATCGTCGATATCAGTTGAGCCATTCCCTGCTGTTCCATGCTGAGATACTGAAACAGAGACAAGTTTATTATAGCGACTTCTCGTTAACGGTTTTCTCTTTAAAAAAATGTTCAATATTATACATACCGCTTTTATATCGTCCTGTGCTATGGGGTCCATCGCGTATCTCTCTTGATTCTGGGTGTCTATGTAACTTCTCATTCGTAACTGAGACAGCATTTCGCTGATTCTACCCTTGAACTGGGTCGGTGCACTGATCTGCGAGTGCATGGCTTCGAACCTGTGTGTCAGGACCTCCTCTTCCGGTTGCAACGAGAGTCCGACTTTGCGAGTAATCTCCTGACGCACCAATACCTAACAGAAAAATGGAGACACTGTAGGCAATCGTCGTTAACCCTATAATGCCGCACTGGGTCATAACCTTGAAGTTTCGAGAAATGTGACCTTGAGAAAGATCTTACTATGAGACAAAGAAAGCTGTATACATACTTGCAGAACCCTATGCTGAAGTTCCAACAGAGTCCTCCTATGCTCCTTCAGTCTAGCTTGTATCGCCGTGTGTTGCCTCTGCAATTTCTGAATTTCCTCCGCTGCCATGTCCAAGAAATTCCTATGTCTAGCAGTTTCTTCCTCTTGACATTTTAGCCTGTGCTTCACTTGTTGGAATCCAATCATCGGCACCGGTATGTATAGTTCTGGATTGGGATTGTCCAACTGAGCCTGTTTCCATAATCTCGGATCGATTGAACAAGGTGGATTGTCCAAATACTCTTTTAATTGAGCTGGATCTAATTTGACCAAAGGCAACATGTCCTCCACGCCATTCTGTACCAATTGTTGCTTCTGCATTGGCTGAGATAAATAAGTGACCAGCTCGTTGGCAGGTATTTTTCTAGGAGCCCCAGTGATGCCTTTCTCGGTGACAAAGATGGTCACCTGAGTCTTCTCTTCACCGGTCGCCTTGATATTATCTATAGTCAATGATAAGTTTGGCTTGTTACCCAGGACATTATTCATAAAGCCTATCAACTGAGTCTCGCCCTCTTTGATGTCGTTCTTCTTCTTGTTGAAGCAGAAGACAACCAATCCGTCGTTGTTGTCAGCCTCGGGCATCCGACTGTATCCGATTGCCTTGAATCTACATAGAGGATTCTCCTGATTAAGGTCTATGGGCGGCACGTTCATGGAATAGTAAGCTTTCCCAGTGCCCCATAGAGCTTGTATGAGGTTCCATCTGGCGATGACATTGTCCCGTTCGTCGTTGTATAGTTGGCAATTGAAGACAGCATTGTACAACGCTTCGGATATGGTGTTGACGGTTTGCTGTTGTAGCTGTTGCTGTTGTTGGAATGGTTGCTGTTGCTGAGGCTGTGTCAGCCCTGCGCCGAAACCCGTGAATCCTGTGCCAGTACCGAACCCGCCAAAACCTGTGGTGGTGGTTGTGGTCGTTGGCTTAGTTCCAAACGCACCGAAACTGGTGCCTGTACCAAAGCCAGACGGGGCTGTGCTCGTAGTTCCAAAACCTCCAAAGAATAGAGGTGCAGTGGTGGTTGTTGCTGTTCCAAATCCACTAAATCCCCCAAAACCCAAGGAAGGTGTGGTTGTGGCAGCCCCAAACCCACCAAAAGCTGTGGTAGATGCTGGAGTGGTACCGAAAGTAGATGTCCCGAATCCGGTACTCGTTGAAGCTGGTGTGGTACCAAATGCTGGAGTGGACCCGAATCCACTGGTGGGATTGGTACCAAATGCTGGTGTAGTACCGAATCCAGTTGTGGATGTGCTGCCAAAGCCAGTAGCTGCTGGTGTACCGAATCCAGTACTTGTTCCAAATCCACCAGTTGCTGGAGTGGAAGCGGTGCTAAACAGACTTGGAGCTGATGTTGCTGGTGTACTGAATCCAAAGGACGGTGTCCCAAATCCTGCTGAAGGATCAATTTTCAAATTATTCAAATGTGTCTTATACTTGAAGTACGATTTGGCAGAATACTGGAAATCACGTACAGGATGAATATAGCTATGATTTTCACTGTTGGATTTTGTTTTTTTCATTTGAAGCTGCTTCAAATGGAATAACCAGGGAATGACAGAACTATTTTAAATAAAATCGCGGCAATAATTATTATTTATAATTTATGTGAATACATCGAGTATACAAAGGATATCGTTATATACATTTATTAGTATAAATTGTCTTAGGTTTGGATATTAAATCATGTCACACGTGAATCAGGTATGTTTCTTTTTTTTATTGATAGGATAAAAGGATTTAATACATGTAAAATCACAGGAACAGAGATACGAGCAAATAGTTCACAAGTTGTTAAAGATACCCATAATGCCTACTAATAAGTTAAGACATCGCCAAGCTGATCACTTTCACAACACTGCTACAGAAATTTCAGGAGAAATTGGTACCACAGACAGGGCTATTGGAGTATGTTTTAAAGAATTATGTTTTATGCATGCAATGTGTTATAAAATACTTATTATAACATACCGATATTCCGCAGGATGTTACAGCTGAAATTATGATAACAACACTAGGGAAAATACCAAATGAAATGTACTACATAGAAGACACAAATCCCCCAAAATTAGCAGCGCTCGAGAACATTCAAGAGGAGAATACTTACTCAACCAACAGCATTATATCATCCACAGAAATGAACAAAGGAGGCACCGAACCTGGTTATTCACCGGTTTTAGTGGCTCTACTATGCACACTTGTGGTTATACTATTCATGTGCTGTATTACGGCATGCTTAGTAGCCAAGTCCAAGAGAAGAAACAATTTTTTTAACAAGGGATGCGACCCAGGGTGCACCGGTATGAGCCAACCGCTATTGGATAAGATATCGGAATGCTCCAACAAAACGAGCAGTGGCACTCAGAGAAATTAGGCAATATTGGCGTAGACTTTGCAAGTTAACATATAGAATCGAGCAAAGCAGTTGCCAAAGAAAGGGCAACGCGAATGGCTTATGTAAATTGTACAGAAATATATTACACATGCACTGATATGCGACAGCCTGCAAAATCCGAGCGATTTACGTATTTGGTTTCTAACTGCACCTGGAACAGAATCTTTTGCGGGACGGCGAACAGTTTCCAAATAAGGCAAACAGTGCGAGCAAAATGAGTCGTAGAATAGGCCCGAAAGGGTCACATGTAACAACGAAATTCGAAATGTGACATAACCTTAAAAGAAGAGAACTTACCCGGTTTCACGGGAGTCGCCGTCGTAGAGGCCGTGGCACCGAAACTGAATGCAGGAGCCGGCGTCGAGGTAGTCACTCCGAATCCCGTGCCGAATGACATTTCTTCGTCCAAATGATAATCAACGCACGAGGAAAACACGCTTTACCCGCGCGCGCGCCTTACAATTTCGTATAAACGACAGTGCAACGAATATGGCGGGCTGACATGCGCCACGAACGCAAACTCCCGCTTGTGCGCAGAACGCGTATTGCGCGCATCACGTGGGCCGCCGCGTGATTCAAATTCAAATTCAAACGACCATCAAAACAACACCTGTTAAGACAGACGGCGCGATCTTGAAAGCGGAAAAAACGTTTGCGAACCGGACCAGTTTTCGCGAGCAAAGAGACCGGATATGCAGAGCAGTGTCTCGATTCTATTTCAGCATGTCTTACAAAATGGCGGAGTTATTAGAGGAACCTTGTCAGCTTGTACCCGATCAATAGATTATAAAAAAAATAAAAGTACTACGGGATTTAAACGGAGGCAGATGTGACGGGCGGTTTTATAATAATTTTGATGAATGCGGAGAAAGCATGGAGAGAGAGAGAGAGAGAGAGAGAGAGAGAGACGCTATAGATTATCGTCGAAGCCAACAAGGTTGCACAGTCCCTTAAATCGCAAACGAGTTTATTCGAATCGTTTTATATTCTTTCGATACAATCGTATTCCATTTTGTACTACATATTTTCATAATCGCCGTATGCGTCTATCACGTATTAAATATATGTGGTGTTCCTTCGATTGGGTGATGCGTGTCACATATTGATATACCTCGAACGGAAACGGAAGTCCGCCAGCTTCTGTTGCTCGATCGAAATTAAACCGAACGATCTTCCGTCGTTCCCGTATTTCGAATTTGTGAGAACGGGACGATCGATCGCCTCGATAATATCGATAAACGTAGGGTGTTATTAATAACAGATACAGCGGGTGAATTTGTAACGAATTTTATCATTTGAAAAACTTAAAAATAAATATATCTCCATAATCTAACATACATATATATGATACTTTCTTCAACAGTTCGATTAGACTATATATATATGTATACCGTATATGTATATAATCACCGCAATAATCATAATAATAGTAATGATAATAATAATAATAATAATAATAATGATAATAATAATAATAATGATAATAATAATAATAATGATAATAATAATAATAATGATAATAATAATAATAATGATAATAATAATCGTACTTTTTTAAAGTCAAGCGCTGCCCGCGCGACAGTCGATCGAATAGGTACAGTAAAAAATACCGTGGATCGATTAGAAACAGTGTGAACAGAAAACATCCGTTAGAGTCTCTCTAAACCACGGAACGTATGTACGTAGAGTGGCGGAATTGAAGCCGCACCGTTATCCAAAAATCCATGGTGCGCCGGTGGCTTAACCAGTCTACGCAATACACGCACGCGAATCGTCTTTTGTGTATATACGGATAAAATTTGAATTGCAGTCAAATCACGTTGTCGCCCTCCTCTCCCGACAACGAAAGCTCGCGAGGATCGAGAACGAGTCTCCGTTTCTCGGCTGAAAACTTCCGGCCTCCGCACCGAGGCTCGCCGGCCACGAGAAATCATTCTCTTTCTCTCGGCGAGGAAAGGCGAGTATTTTCGGATGGCAACCGTCTCGTCCAGCGGCTCGAGCTTTCCCTCGGGGAAATCGGATTTCCCGGCTCACAGCCCCCGGGCACTGCTCTCGGTTACGACAACAGAACGGTCCAAATATTTCCATCGGGGCCCGCGTGTCCGTGTACGCTAGCTTTAGAAGAGAGACGAGAAAGACACCCAGAGAGAAACGGAACGGGGGAGCTTTCAGCTCGTTCGCACGTGTGTATCGCTTTCGTCGTCCTGATCGACGGGGACTCTTCGATTTTCAGCCGACCTGGTCCGTTTCTACAAAAGAAGAATTGACAATCGATAACCTTCCGGATGACAGGCTGCACGTTCTAGATAGCCTGCTGCGAGCTTGTTCGAACGATCGCTGATCAAACTTCGACCGAAGATTCCCGAAGCAGCTGGAATCGCTTTCAATGCGACGAGAGCCTCTCCCGATCAGCGTAAAAACGATCGAAGGAAACAAGCTGCTAAAATTGGGAAACTTCGGTAAGACCTCGACGCTTTCAACAGCGAGCGTTCGGTTACTCTCGCGATCCACCGCACGCCCATTCATAAATAATCGTCTGATCGGCTTTCCTGGAGAGCCGGTTCCCGTCTGATCGTAGATCGAACGTATCCTTCCGGTTCGAATCGCGCAACGGTCTACCTCATCAAGACTCCCAAATTATTTATGAATGGCGCAACGCCGCAAGCGTTTAAATCTCGTTAGCACACCGAGCGGTCCGCGTTCGCGTATCTTCGCGGAGATAATTCCGTGCACAATTTGGGAGCAGACTTCATGAGGTTCACATCGGTTCGCGGGTTTCGGAAACGACCAGGTGGTAAATCGTCTAACGAGATTTAACTGCAATTGCTGGAAATCATGCGTGGGAACAGTTTGTACCAGAGATAGTCAAGCGGTGGGACAAAACGAACGTCCGAGGTGCGGGATCGTGTGTTCCTGTGTACGTTTCGTATTGGATTCAAGCGGATTGCGGAACGGCGAACGGATGTGCGCGCGGCGATCGCAGACGGAATCGTGATCCGTATGCGAAAATACTCGTCGAACCGGAGTGCCCGATAACGAGCTAATAAAGAGCCCGATCGCGCGTTCATTTTTAATTCGGTCGAAGGACGATTTTAGCGAGTCATTTCCCAGAAATGTGCGCGTGCTCGTTTTTAGCACGCCAAAACGTATTTTTGCATACGGCGTTCGATTTTAGCCGACGCGAGTCACCGCGTTGCTAATTATTAACCGATGGAACGCCACCCACGCGCACGTGGGCCGCGTTCTTTGTACCCCGTGCGGGTCGTACCAAATGCTTTTTCTCTGTTTCTCGCACATTTTTGGACCCATGTGACCGCGTGCGCTACCACGATCGCGGTTTTTTCAATGTGTTCTCGCGGTAAAACTTTCGGGAACCGAATCGGTAAACGGAATGGATGTCCACGGTTGGTCCGACATTGGCGCCGGATCCCGATAAAATTTCCCCGTACAAATTGTATCGAACAATAACATATCTCTCGATGTGTCTGCGCGGTGTAAACTCTTCCCCCTCCCTCTCCAGAGGTAACAAAAAACGTCGTTGTAAACGAGACCCGCGCGCGTCGACGATACGTAGGCCAAAATCTGTTTGTCCGATCCCGATCGCTATGTTTCTCGCGGCTGGTTGTGCTCCCCCCACCCCCTCGCGACCGAACTGGCTACTCACATTTAGTGTTACGATATCATCTATACGCGGACGCACACGTATTTACTTGATAGTAGACACATACATTCAACATTTATAGAATACGTTTAGACACCGAGTACATCGAACGAGGCGGAGGGTACCGATCGTGTACGGGATCACAAGAATCTCGTTCTACGCCCGTTTCACGGTACCCGCCGCTCGAGTTTGATTTGTAAAAGTTTTGGTACGAGACTGCCGCTCGGTGTGTGATTGTCCGGCTATTCACGGTACCCGGTATATACTTTGTGCTGTCAAAAGCAAACCGAACTACGGTAAATTCTCCTTAATCGACGACCAGATTGTGCATAAAAATGGACAGTTTGAAGAGAGAAGATACGACTACTCGAGTCTTGCGGTTCGATTTTATAGTCACCGATTGTCAACAACTATAAAAACGTATTTATATAAATTATGTTAATAATCGTATAAATAAAGAATAAATCGTATCGTGTAAATAAATAAATAAATTATATTACAATAATCGTATCTCCCCTTCCCAAATTGTCCATTTCTGAGCACAATCTGAGCGTCAATTAGGAAGAATTTACTGTACATTAAGTTCGGCAGCTTCGCAGGTCGCTTCTGTATACCGTTGCCAACCATTCCGGAAAATTTCATTGAGTTGCAACAACGCTAACGTGCTCCATTTATAAATATATATATATGTATGTAACATTGTCAAGTCGCAGAACCTCGTCGCCGTGCTTGCACGAAATCGTTCGCAGCTGCTTTCTCCGGCTAGTCGCAGCTCGATGATATCCGACAGATCGATGGACAAGAGTATGCGGTAGCGACCTGCGAAATCACTGAACTCTTCGTCTGACGCTGTTACAGAGAGATCAACGGAGTCCGTCTTCCTTCCGACAGCGTCGAAGGAGAAGCGCTCCGCGTGAGTGAGGCGTACACGTCGCGTGACTCGATAGGCTCTAAATGTCTCGAAATCGGAAACGGTCGTAGGAAAGTAAAGAAGCGACATGTATAGCTTGCTCTGTTTAGGTCCCAGGTTTCTTAGATTCTTAACGGTGGCCGCCTAGGCGGTTGGTTCGCGGCGGTGGTTGGTCCTACGAGTACGACTCGGAGAACTCGAAGTCGGAGGCGGAAGCTCGCGACGAGCGCGTGTAAACGGAAATGCCCCCACCGATCGCGCTGTCCGAGGTCCCCTCGCCGGTCACGAAGTCGGCGACGATCAGCGAGTCCTTCGGGACGTTTCCGATGCCGCCTTTCAGCGCGTCCCTCTCCGCCAGCATCTGCTTCAGGACTTTGATCTTCTCTTCTTTCTGCAAAGAACGGGCTCCGTTGAGAATCGAATCGAGCCGGAAGTCGTTTCTCAGCCTAAACCGATCGCGACTCCTTAAAATCCTATCCTGGCTAAAAATTAGCTACCCGCAGCCTAACCTTGACCAAAGTAATAGCAGCTAATTCAAGATCGGCTGGTCGAAGGAACTCGTGTAGAGAAACTTCGTGGAACCTCTGTCTTTCATCGGAGTGAACAAATAACCTTGACACAACCGCAACCCTGATCCGAAATGCGTTGGCTCACCGCTGCTATAAGCTTCTGAAGTTCATCGTTCTCCTTGAGCAGCTTCTGGTACTTCTCCTCGTCCTCCTTGGACATGCCGACGTTCTCGTTGTACTTGGACTCGGCCTTGTCCTTCGGGTGGCTGATCACCTCGATCATCTTCGGCACGAAGATCAACGCCATGCTGAGGACGCAGCAGAAGACTATGGCGAGCGCGACGAACGCGAAGCTGGCGTCCTGCTGGCTGGCGATGACCATGGTGACCGGCACGGTGATCACGCAGAGCACGACCACGTTGTAGATCGACATGCCGACGTATCTGGAGTCGTTGATCTGCTTGACCTTGATGCTGCGCGTCTCGTAGGCGAGGAACAGGCCGAACACGAGGATGATGCCCTTGTAGCTGTAAACCAAACCTGGAACGAACGAACGACCGTGAGAGGCGATTAACCCTTTCGGTACGAGCGCGTTGTCCGCCGTGATATTCCCACTGTACGGGGTGCCGCGCCGAAAATGCGCACATAACGCAGGGTCAGTCCACTTTTGTACGAAGATTTTCTCAAGCGTTAAGCAATGACTGTGCTTAATCCGTTTCTAAATCTTTCTTTAAACGTTTCCTGTAAACATTCTGTAAAGGGCCTACAGAAATACGGCTTACATGGATGCCGGATGTATTCGGCACTCGTCCATATTGGTCATCAGATGAATGCCGGATATATCCGGCGCTCGGCCACACAGGTGACTAGATGGATGCCGGATATTTCCGGCGCTCGGCCACACAGGTGACTAGATGGATGCCGGATACATCCGGCGCTCGTAATGAAAGGGTTAAAGATCGTTCTCCGTTTTATCGCCGCGTCGAAGATCGCCGTACCTAGCCAAACGTTGTTGTGGTCGCTCTCGCAGTGCTCCAGCTCCGGCCTGATCCTGGCGTCGTCGTCACCGAACGGCGACGACTCCAACGGGAACGTCTCCATCTTTCTTTGGAGAGGATCGAGCACCTGCCAGGAGATCAGCAGCACAATGTCCATCGCGAGCAGCCCACTTACCATCGTGTACAGCTTCCACGGTTGTATTTTCTTCTGTATGGACGAAACTTTTTGTTTAGCCATGAACAACTAAAAAGAACCGGAGAGATTTACGTTTAAAGTCAGGGGCCGTACGAGCGGGAGCTGCGGGCCATGCAGGAGCGGTGCAGACTGCGTGAGAGACTAGAAATGTCAGCCGTACGGTTAAAATCGTCGTAAACCAAAGCTACTCGATCGGACAAATCGGGGGGGCCTACGGCTCGATCGACCATACCTTCGCCTGGTCCGCTTTCGTCTTCGTCGTCAGCCTGTGCACCCGCCACACTTTGCTGAACATGGCGCCGAACGCCAGGGTGAACCCCGTGGACAGCATCCAGGCACGGGCCTGGCAAACCGCCGGGTACTCCCATTCGGTGACGAATCGGCCGTCGATGCCTAATAGAAACACCGACACGAAACACGCGATCACCCCCACCAGCATGATCGTGTTGCAGACGGGATGGGAGGACATGATGACGCTGAAAGAAGGGCGATCGTCAGAACTTCGTTAGAGCATAGTGAGGAAAACAAAAGAATAAAAAGAACGGCGTGAAACGATCGAACGCACCTCCTGTGCCTGTTCCAAATGTTAAATATAATTAGACCGACGGCTAGAACGATCCCTATCGAGGATATGGTGCACATACATATGAACAACGGCAAGGACACCGTTCTAAGCACCGTCCTCACGATCGTCCTGTCCTGCGGCACCTTGCCGCCGATCCACCGTTCCATGTTTCTCCAAGTCAGATTGTCGCTCTGCGTATCGTAGTACCCTAACTTGACGTACTTCCCATCGATCACCTGCTCAATTTGGGTCAATGCGATTCTGTCGCCTTGGGAGCTAAACGCAACGTATCCCTATAGCACAGAAAATCGATTAAAGATCCGCCCGCCAGTCGGGGAATCGCGAGCCAGCTTTTTCTTTTCTACTTTCGGACGCGTGCGTGCCACCTACAGATACGCCGAGGAACTGCGTCGAGTTGATGGCCGAGTAGATCTCGTCGGCGATCTCCCTGTCCGTGTACACGAAGTTCTTCAGGCTCTTCCCCTGCTTGGCCAGCTTCTCCATCGATTTGTTGAACGCTAAGGAGCCGGACATTACCGAATCGGAAAGGCTTTTTCTCTCTCGTCGAATCGCTCCGCATGAAATGTCGGATTTCGATATCGCGTGTTTCTTGCGAAACATTTTTTTTTTATATAGTCGTACGATATAATACGTACGTCGGTTTGTGCTGGAAAACGTTCGCTAGCCATCTAATCGTGCACTTGCGTCGCTACTTTTCAATTTGCTCGCGTTCGCCGATGCTAGTCTAACTTTCTCGTGTGAATGCAAACTCGGCGGTGAAGCGGACACCGCGTATAGTGCAACGGAGATTGCCATTTTGAACGTGTATACGGGATAGACGTTGTCACGTGTGATCATCGCGTGGTCCATGTTTTGAGAAGCGTACTTTTCTGTACACGTGTGCATTAAACGCGAGATATTGCAACAGGAAGTTAGGAACGGTTTATTGTTGGTAAATAATTTTCCGGTAAATAATTCCGTAAATTTTCTGTGTCTCTAAACAGAAAGTTAACCCATTAACTGCCATGATACCCAGTTGGGGATTTTGGAATTTTACGGACGTCGCTTGGCGGCGAGCAATGTGTCAAGTGCGTTTGACGGTTTGATGTCATTTTACACATGTCGGTCAATATTGTTTATTGCAGACTGTGTGTATATTGCGTTTCGTTTCTTTTCAACGAGGGAACAAATTTGAAAATCATCTCCAAGTTGAACACGACAAAATTATCATACTTGAAACATGATATTTTTGGTTTGGTTTTTATATTGCGATTAAATATCATACATGAATATGTAATTTAGAGGTTATAGTAACTATGTGTTACTTAATTGGTCTTTTGTTTTTCATACAATAAAAAGATACTTTTCTTTTCTTTTCTATTCATGCAACTTGCCACAATCCCCGTTCGGGACTTTTTAAAAAATAGAAAATACTTCGATATAATTATGATTGAATATAATTTGAATATAATTATATTGTTACACAACTTTTTGTGCATATACATAACTATATCTCGTCAAAAATTCAAGAAACAAAAATTTGGCAGTCAATGAATTAATTGATTGAAGTATATCAATGGAAATACTTATGTTTGTTTCATTAGCAGCCTATCAGCTGATAGGCTCTCCGTACCATAAATTAGTTGTAATAGTAAATAATAGTAAAAATAGTAAATAATGTAATAGTAAATAATTATACAAAAAAATATAAATATTTACAACACATTAACTACCGTATATTTTAACGTACTTGTTCATGTAATGTCTCTATATTGTCCATGTGTTCGTGTACAAAGAAGTGCGGCCAGTTCAAAACACGGATGACGCAATGACCACGCGTGAACCGTGTAATCACCGGAGTGCAGAGCTGCGGTTAGCAAAAATCCGACATTCCACATGCATCGACTTACTATTTGAAGAAGCAAAAGCGTAGGTTTTACCTAACGCGACCGACCAAACCGCGTCGTAGGCGAGCGGTGCCTCCTGGTATCCTTCGGGGTACCGGTTGTTGTCGATGTCGTATCCGTCCTCCTTCAGCATCTTGTTCAGCCGCAGCCTGAAGTCCTCGGACGTCATCCCGCTGATTGTCGTGTCGTTGTTCTGGTTCCACATGAGCGCCTCCGTGGTCAGGTGTCCCTCGGCCGCCAGCCTCATCTGCTCCTTGGTGCAGGTGATCCCCTCCTTGTCCAGGTTCACCTCGAACCAGTTGTCCTCGTACCAACCGATGAAGAACCACACGTAGCTCTTTCCGTACAGGTTCTGATGGTAGAGCTCGCAGAGTACCCGCCTCGCCGCCACCACGTAGAAAAGGCCCACGATGATCCTGGCGTCCTGGCGTCGCAGATTCCGCACCGCGTCCGAAGGATCGGACAGAAAGCTTTGGCGCGTCACTATTTCTATCCCCGCCTCCTTGCAACGGGACTCTAAGTCTTCTACGGTCTACGGAACGAAACGGAACGGGAGATTAAACTGGTTTAAATCGCAAACGCCCGCGATCGGATCGAAGCGATCCTCAGGGGGGGAGATAGAGGGAAACCGATCTTACGGATATGAACACTTCTTCGGCCTGCTGCAGGATCGCCACCCGAGACCAGCCGAACTTCTGCAACAGTTTGATCCGCGTCGGATTGTGCACCGTGGCGGACGGGTGGGTTCTGAACAGCGTCGGGAACCTGTTACGATCGGACAACGCCGGGGACGAGGCGCCGTAGCAGAGCTGAAATCGTTCGACAAGTGAGAGACCTCCCCTCGAGAGATCGTTCCGAGGCGTTTTCACTCACCACGACCAAGTTCCACATCTTGGCCGCCTCGGCGACGGTCGTACAGACCGTGCTGCACCCCGCCAGCAGCATCAGCTTCCGCGGGCTGTAGTACAACAAGTTGTACATCACCGAGGCGCCGAGTCCTGGCTCGCACTAAATCGAACGAGGTCGCGTTAGAGATTAGCATTAGCTGGGATCTCGTCGATTAAAGGCCCACACTTGTCGGCATACCTCGCTGTCGTTCGAGTGCAGCTTCAGCGTGAAGCCCGGTAACAGGTTCTTCTCGCGGTTGACATCGTCCAAGGCCAGGTTCACCGCTGGCATGCATGCCTGCGGAAAGAGGACGGTCTCGATTGTTTACGGCAAAGAAGGTGGAAAGAAGCGCGCGCGCTAGAGAGAGAGAGAGAGAGAGAGAGAGAGACGAGGACCGATCTCTCACCTGACCTCCCTGCCAGCCACCCTCCCCCGCTATCGGGAAAATGCCGCCGATGTGCAACACATTGTCCTCTTCCTCGGGTGGTAACGAACCCTCGACCACGCTCGTCGACGCCAGAACTATCACGAGCAGCTCCAACATCGCACTGGCCGAGCCTCCTGTCGACAGCCACGAAGAATCAGCCCCCTCCGATCAATCCTCCTCCGTTCGTTCTGCCCTACGACACACCCCAGCGCAGCAACGCCGAGAATCGTACTTCCCTCAGACGGATCACAGCCATCGTCCTCGACCGCTGCGCGTTTTCATTCGAGTCGCCGCACTCGCGGGTTTCACGATTTTCACAGCACCGTGGAACGTTTCGCGAGCCGTCGAACCGACGGGGCTGATCGCGGCCTCGGCACTGGCTGCGTCATTTAAACAATTGATCCCCCGTTGGCCATCGCTCGCCGGGCTGGCTTCTACGCTCCGTCCTGCTCGCGCGCGACTCCCCGCGATTTTTTCCCTGCGAATAGATTCAACGAAGACGGAGCGCGATCGCGCGAGCTTTCTATTGATTTCATCCCGGCTACCAAGGATCGTAGTGGGGATGGGGTGGCACTGTCCCCTAGTTTTCTACTAAGAAATCAATATACAGGCTGCTCTAAAGCACGACGCTCCTTCGCAGACGTTCTTTCGTCGCTGCGGCGAGACGGGTCGTCGTTTCCGGCCGGCTTTCTCGGAGAAACCCTTTGGAACAGCCTGTAGAAAGCTCGCTCGAAAATTATTTAATTAAGTTATAATTGAATTGAATTTCTAATATGAAGTTAGAGGTAATTTTATTAGAAAAAAATAATTGAGTTATAGTTAATTAGTATAATGATTATAATTATATTTTTGATTTTAGACTTATTTAAGATAAATTTTATGGTGATCGATAATGTGGGATTAATTTATAATAAAGTAAAATTTAATTTTTATTTTGATTTAGGTCTGATAAAATTATTTAATTAAGCTATAATTGAATTGAATTTCTAATATGAAGTTAGAGGTAATTTTATTAGAAAAAAATAATTGAGTTATAGTTAATTAGTATAATGATTATAATTATATTTTTGATTTTAGACTTATTTAAGATAAATTTTATGGTGATCGATAATGTGGGATTAATTTATAATAAAGTAAAATTTAATTTTTATTTTGATTTAGGTCTGATAAAATTATTTAATTAAGCTATAATTGAATTTAATTTCTAACATGAAGTTAGAGGTAATTTTATTAGAAAAAAATAATTGAGTTATAGTTAATTAGTATAATGATTGTAATTATATTTTTGATTTTAGACTTATTTAAGATAAATTTTATGGTGATCGATAATGTGGGATTAATTTATAATAAAGTAAAATTTAATTTTTATTTTGATTTAGGTCTGATAAAATTATTTAATTAAGCTATAATTGAATTTAATTTCTAACATGAAGTTAGAGGTAATTTTATTAGAAAAAAATAATTGAGTTATAGTTAATTAGTATAATGATTGTAATTATATTTTTGAGTTTAGATTTATTTAAGATGAATTTTATGGTGATCAATAATGTGGGATTAATTTATAATAAAGTAAAATTTAATTTTTATTCTGGCCGACCGCGCTTCGATCTTAGCTTCCAATCTACCGTAAAGCGCGATCCTCTGGCTTCTGTTCAAGCTCGTAGATGCTCGGGAATTCTAAAGGAAATATGAACATGCTAGAAATGATATTTTGATAGGATTCAGTTTATGAAATAGCGTGTATTTATTAAATACGAGTGAAACGTTTTCAATTTTGCCGCGCTTTCTTCGGGGGTCCGCGTAGCGCCATTACGCGCATTGGCGAAACGCTGAAACAATTGGACAATTTTACCGACGGGCTAAATTAGCGTCTGGAATTGCACAGTGGCGACGTCTATGGTTCCAAAGAACTGTTCGCAATCGGTAATTCGTCCACCAGTCTGCATCACCTGACCGCGTTGCCGCGGCGCTGTCTGAAAACAACTCGCACAACATGATGGGTGTTGTTGTTGTTGCGTGAGAGGTCCTCTTTGATGGGAAAAAGATAATTATTTTTGGTGGCACCATGGCGGCTCAACGAGCACTGCCGCAAAGCAAAGAGGCTTTACTGAAGTCGTACACAACGAGGTTAAAGGACGATGTGAAGTCTATGCTGGAAAACTTTGAAGGTAAGCTTCCTAACCTCATCTCGTGCTTTATCGACGATATCTCGCGAAGTTCTCTGTTCTTTTGAAAAAGAACATTGCCACGCGATAATGTACACTTGTGCTCGTCTCGTGGTCCGCGTTAATCGGACGAAAATGATTTGTTTCGTTTGAAGTACCGGTAGTCCGGCGAACATAACCTACACGTGTACACAACTTACTGTATTCTCTGTTGTTCCAGAGATCATAAAGCTGGCCAAAGGCGAGAGCGACTCCCAATTATCACGGATGACACAATGCGAGCAGGACACGTACGAAATGCACGTTAGAGCTGCGAATATTGTACGCGCCGGCGAATCCCTGATGAAACTTGTCTCCGATATAAAACAGTATTTGATACTAAACGATTTCCCATCTGTGAACGAGGCCATAGGGCAAAATAGCAAACTGTTCAGAACGAAACAGGCGGAATGCGATCAGAAATTGGCATCTCTACGTGACGACATGGCTGCGGATCTGTACGACCTGGAGGAGGAGTATTACACTTCGATATACAAATAACGGAAGCTCTGCCAGTCAGAGAGAAATGCACAGTTGTGTGCGCCCACCGCGCGGACCATGCCGTGACAACAAATGTGATTTATTTGTTCGGTAAACTGTATATATTTATTTAAATAAATAAGAATAATTTTGATATTACATTACTGTCTTGTTAGAGTTGGGTGCTTGACGAGACGGTAGTTCTTTCCTCGGGGCGTAATTGTATAATTCATTTTATTACTTGAATACCTTTTGTAACACACAGACGATACATCACACAATACTTTCTAAACTGGTAAGTATACTCAATAAGGTAATGCGGGATTCAAGCTTCAGATAATCGTAACGATAATAATCATAGGAGTAATAATAATAATAATGAGAATAATTATAACGTTTAAAGCATAATACTAATTCTTCTTCGTAATCCTTGGCTTGAACGACGATGCCTTTTCCATACTCTGTACAGCGATAATTTACAAAAATAATATACGGAGTCCCCTCGCGACCGGAGCAGCGAGATTACATTGTCGTTTAATCAGATCGACCAAGATATATATCGGCTAATTAATCCGCGCGAATACAAAGGATGCCAACGCGTGCCGCGCGAGCGTAATCTCGTTTGCTCCGCTCTCTTACCAGTACTTATTGTGATTCAAACTGAAAACGCGATCGACACGGTTACTGTTCCACGAATGATTGGAAAACAATTGTAGTGTCTATAGGAAGAGAAAAAAAAACAAACAAACGAAATAACAAAAAAATATCACAGTGTAAAATGCAACGCTGTGACACACAGACCCATCAAGCATCGATTTTTAACGCTAACGCGGGCCCCCACGGCGGTTTTCCCTCCGCGCGCAGTTCTCTCGAATCCTTGCAAGCCGTTCTCTAGAGCAGCGAAAGCTCTTTCGTCTTCGTTTACAATCGGCCGCGACACGATTCGTCGATTATTTCGCGGTCAGCTCTATTATCGCGCGCGACGCTACGGAGGGAAACGCCGCGAACGGATGGGCGACGTTTGCGTCGCACGACACACGTGCGCGCGGTAGCCGGAATTATTAGCATCTAAATTCAGCGACGGAAAATGGAACACAGTTGTTGCCGTTGGCGTACAGACGCACCTGTGGTGTGTTCGGTTATTATCATCGTATCGCACGTTTTGTTTTCTTCGAATCAGTCCGCGATCACGCGATCAACTCCTCTAATTTATTCGACCATACCGCCCGCAATCATACCAGAAACAATCGGACGCGGTTTACGCGCGTAACTCCGAAATTTCCTCGACGTGTGTTACACAGTCTCCCGGAACGCAATTAACACGGACAACGAGTAGAAACAAAGAGCACAACGTAGAGAACGCGGTCGGCCCCGGTAAGCAAAATTCGAATTCGTCTGATCGAGCCTCGGGGCCGACGAATAATTTAGTATGTACAAAATTCAATTTTCCTTAAAATTAAACAGGATCTTCTCTCGTAAAAAAAAACTCTTCCAAAAAGCACGCGATCATTCGCTGTGTGTGTGTGTGTGTGTGTGAGTGTGTTTGCGGTGTATATGTTTGTATATGTGTGTTCTCTTCTTATTTTATCTTTTTTTTCTTCTTTTTTTTAGTTTTGGTCCTCGTCCAAATGTAAGAAACAATCAAGCGAACCGAACGAAACATGATCGTCTTTAATCACGGTGTATAAATGTATTATCTACACTGAAGTATGAACGAACCTGTTGAGCATTCGCGTGAGAAATGTTAGTATGGTTTTACACGCCCACGGTATATAATAATGAGCCTTCTCTTTTTGGAATTTACAATTGTTACACGTTATCCCTGGACAGAAACATTTGTTTTTTTCGCTTATCGTACACATACATTTAAGTATACTTAAGTAGACTTACGTTCTACTTTGGCAAAAACTTTTACAAATCTAAACTCGAGTGTTTTCCCCGCCCCTCTTCTCTTCCCTCTCCTTCTTCTCGTTCCACATTTCACTTTTTCTCTTTCGCGAACAAACTATTCTTCCCCGTCGTTCTTCTCTTTTTTTTCTCAGTTTCGCGATTTCCTAAAAAAATCTCGCGCCCAACATTTTCTAGCCCTCTCTCGACTGGCAGCTCGAACTCGTGTGTATACGGCTTAGGATTAAAGTAATCTCAAAAAGGTTAGAAAAAACGTTCAGTTCCATCGCCGACGTCTCTCCGCTCGCTATAAAATGTGCCAAAAAGGTGTGATATGATATCCTATGTATATCCCTTACGCGACGTATGTTTCCCATCTTTTCTCCTTCTCGCGATCATCGTCCGTCCTAATATAAACGCTCGCCGATCACTGGGCTTCTCCGTGTGTAAAGAAATTGCTTAACAATTAAGGACAGAAAAGAAAGAGACAGAGAATCGAAGAAAGAAAGAAAGACAGACAGACAGACAGACAGACGGATAGACAGAAAGAACGAAAAGCACTGACGCGTATCTTGGCAGTTTCGATTACTCGTTAATTAGGAAAGTCTGTTCACTGTATCGTTATCGTATTAATACAAAGTAAATGCATATACTTGGAATGATACTGTTAAATTCTCTCGATTCTTCGCCGGCCACGAAAACGGCGCGCCCTTAAGGGGGGCGGTAATAATCGCTTAAATCATCATACAGGTGAGCATTCGTCACTCGAACGAAGAAACCTTTTCTTTTTAGCGGTCTATCGGTGGAAGGCTCGTTCTTACGAAAAAAAAACAAAAAAAAAACAAACGACAATTAAAATACTTTTGCGATCTAGTCTTTTCTCAGTTCACGGAACTCCGGAATTCCGGGCGCCGCGCCCCGTCAAGGTAACGGCGGAGCTTCTTCCCGCGGGGCTGTTCTTCTCTCTTCCGGGTTGTAAGCGTGTTCCCCTGGCTGCGACCTCGGCCGCCGGCGGTCCTCTTCAGTAGAGAAGGTCCCCGGTGGTTTCGGAGCCCCAAGCACCCGCGTCCTGTGCAGGCTTCAGATAGTCGATCTCGCCGATCTCGTTCTCCGTGCGGCACTGCTCCGTCGACGGCGTCGTCGCCGGCGTCGTCGTCGTCGTGCTCGGGGCCGGCACCGGCGTCGACGACACGGCCCTTGTCACGCCCAGCTCGAAACCCTCCGACGTCAAGTCCACTTTGCTAGGCGTGTAACTGGCTAGACCACCGCCACCACCTGCAGGGACAACAAGCACTAGCTTTCAGCACGCTACATTAGCAAGACCCGGCACAGCGAGACGACGCGGCACGGCCACACACAGGATACAAAGCGCGCGAGGCGACGTGAAACAAAGTGGGACAAGCGGGGAATAGGAAGCTAGATTATCGACTCTTGCGGGGCCTCGGTGCTCAAGAGACACTGCAACTGGTCGCATTGCTTCGCGCGGGAAAGAGCGCCGTTTGCTCCTGGAAACAATCCGAAACAGGGCCACACTGGTGTTACACAATCCTGCGATTTTTATCCTCCCGCTCTTTTTTTCTTTCTTTTTTTTTTCTTTTTTATCTTTTCCGTCTACCGCGCTGAATATTGTCCAGCGAGGGTAAACGATAACGTCGTTCGATCAGCGGACCGGATATAATTGTGTAATTATCGGCGGACCGCGGATCTTTATGTAAATTATAAATTGTCTGCGTCGAGAAAGCGTCGGAGAGGAAGTTACGTGCTTCTTTGGATATTTTCAGCGAGTCGAAAATTAATATTTATATATAATATTAATAATATAATATTATAATGTAATATTAATATATATTAATATAATATAATAATATATATAATAATATAATATTATAATATTAATATATATTAATATAATATAATAATATAATATTATAATATTATAATATTAATATATATTAATATAATATAATAATATAATAATATAATATTATAATATTAATATATATTAATATAATATAATAATATAATATTATAATATATATATATAAATATAATAATATAATAATATAATAATTAACGGTAAATCTACCAAGCGCAAAATGCGACCGACGTACGCAGCTTTAAAAGAGTAACAAGAACGATGATTTGCGGATTCCTATGCGAAATAAAAATTGTCTGCACTAATTGTCCGCACTGATTGCAAGACACAGAAGGTGCACAGGCATTTATCCCTATCCTTGACAACGAACAATACTTTGAAACAATATTTTCTCGATTCCTTAAATGCTTCCGCTGTGCCGCATTCGATCCGCTACGTTTTGTCATAAGTGCATCAAATTCGCAGTCTAACGATGACATTACTCGGAGCCGGTCAAGGTGACCGACTTCGCATTTTATACTCTGAAGTAAGTTGTTCGAACCTCGAAAGACTCGTGGAAAACAAGTCAATGAACGTTCCGAGCGAACGTTTTTTGTTTTTATAACAAAAGTGACGCAAGGTTTAAATAAATACAGTTGTTCCATCGTTAACGAAGCAACGCGTGTCAGTCATTTTTAGCGTTTGGTAGAGGTTTACCGTCGAGTAAAAATATTTAATCGCTTCCCACGAAGGTCCTCATAATTTTAACCCTTTGCACTCGAAACTGTTTTAACTCGAAAATGAAGACATTTGTTTCAACCTACGATATTTCCACTTGTTATGATTGTTTTGATCTGATACGTACGAAATTGAACGTGTACGATTATAGAACATTTCTATTATTTATCAATTTATCGAATAATTTGATAATAAAATAAATTTAATAATGCGAAGATTCTTTGAAAAACAGTGCAGCAGCTTTTAGCGTCGCCTCAGAGTCGCCATTCGAGTGCAAAGGGATAATAAACGCGGCACGATTTTGATTAATTTTAATCGGCACGATCGGTTCACCGTTAAATTCTTCCGTCGACGTTGCTCAACCCCTTGACGTAACATTTTCTTCGCAGTTACCACGATTAGAAATTCTTCGATCGCAATGATTTCTTAAGAGAGACAGAAAATTGCTGCCTAAATTTACTCGAACGCTCAACCCTTTGCACTCGAAGCTAAATTAACGCAAACTCTAAAATATTTTTTCTGATTCACGCTAATTGACGTTCAGATTGTACACAAAAATGGACAATTTGGGGTGAGAATATAAGAATAAATATAATAATATAAGATATTATTATAATATAATATATTATATATAATATTATATATTATATATTATGTATTATATATATTATATATTATTAATATATATTATATTAATTATATACTATTAACATTATATATAATTATATATAAGATATTATTATACTAGGTCTACCGAAAAGTTCTGTCCGTTTAAGAAATGAAAGGAAAAATAATAGATTTTTCATAAATTTAGTAATATTTATTGTACAATATAATTCCCATCGTTACTTATAACCTCTTGCCAGCGTGATGGCAATTTGTGAGCAACATTTTTCAAAAATATATATCTCAAACGAACATGTGCATACCTTTTCGAAATTTGCAATGACATTATCAGACAGAACTTTCCGATAGACCTAATAATTACCGATTTTCAAAAATTATAAAAACTAGGTGCAACGTTCGGCCAATCGTAATCTCCTCTTCCCAAATTGTCCATTTTTGTGCAGAATCCGAGCGTCAATTAGAGAGACTTAACTGTATTTCCTTTTTATATAACCTAATGCATTTTGAACATACGAAATTGAATTTCGTAACTCATGCAACACGGTTACGCTTTCAACAGTTCTTCAAGCATAAACAAATATCATTAATAAAATTATTTCGAAACGTAACAGTATTTAATGTCGCCTCGAAGTCGTCATTCGAGTGCAACGGGTTAAACATCGACGGCAAGAGATTCGAATTTCATTTACTTTTTTTCACGACTAGTCGGACTCGTCGAAGTACGTCGTGGGGTTAAAACCCATTGACTGGCACGCAAATTCAGCGAGTCTTGGCCTGGGTGCCACGGTTTTATTTGAAAGAAAACATGAAGTTTTGCAAAATATAATAATATATTAAGTTACCGATATAATATTGCAATGGCATTTACAGTATTTTTTTTTATCGATAATCAATATATTCTCTACACCAGGGGTGTCAAACTCGCGGCCCGAGATGAACATTTTTGCGAGAGATGTCAAGTATCAGGACGTAAACAATAATTTAACTTTACATACGTTTATTACAATGTACTAGTCAAAATAAAAATTTATAATAAATAAATAAATAAAAATTCTATGAACATTGATCTTTCTTTTGCGGCTCACCTAAAGTTAAGCATTGTTTATTTGGCCCAAGTTAGCTTTTGAGTTTGACACCCCTGCTCCACACTATATACATTTTTCATTCATCCTCTCTAACAGCACCCAACTCGAATAGCTCAATTTGTAGCCAATCTAAACTCGCAGCACCCACTGCGAGATATCTCGTAGCTGGCAGTTTTGGTACAGACGAGATATATCTCGTAGCTGGCAGTCAATGGGTTAACAATTCGGCCAGCGATTTGTGCGACGAACGCCGTAAAGATCCGCGGTCTAGCGGCTGGAAGTGCTGGCGATTCGAATTACCGAGAAGTGCCGGCATGGATGTCGTCGAATTGGTCGAGGACGTTTTATTGCTGATCGGGGCAGATTGCTCGACGGGGCCGGAAGTTTCGCCATCCACGCTGCTCTCGCCCTCCAGCATCGACGCCTCGCTGGGATACTCGAAGGTGCGGGTCGCCGTGTCGTCGAATTGTATTCGGTGCTGAAATCAGAAACAGGAAAGAGCCGTTCAATTATTATAATCGTCGTCGATCTACGGAAGAACCCGAAGGGAGAGGCGATGAAGAAACAACACCCGCGATGTCGCTTGACACGGTCGCCGAAAGACAAAATCGACGGAAAAGATGCCGCGGGTAAGAAGAAGAAGAAGACGCCGGTCGTGTTCCCGCGGCACGCGACCATTGTTTGAGGAGACAGTTACACGGCGGAAGAAGCTACGCCGCCGCGTATGCGTTCGCCACGGTGTATCGCGCAACACGCGCGCTCGGCTACAAAATAAGACACGGGGAAGAACAAACAACGGCCGCGGCGAGCAGCAGCCTGGAATAACAGTAACCCGTCACACTCGGTGCATTTTCGACTGCCAGAGCTAGGACATCGCCTCCTAGTTCGCTCCTTGTCGGTGAGCACGATCAAAAGAGAAAGCAATTCTTTTCCTAGAGAGCCGCCCGTGTTGCTGCTGCTATCCGAGGCTCGCCGTTTCATCCGGCATCCTCTCGCCGAGAACCATCGATGCGATCAGAGATTTCCACGCGAGGCCACCTCGCTTTTCGAACAGAATTCTTCTGCGGACACTCCGCGGGACTCCTGAGCGAACTCGTCGACGGTTGTTGTCGTTGTTTCATCGGCGATCATTGGACGCGCGACGTATTTAACCGGTTCGCTGTGACGCCTGCTTGCCCCCTAGCCTGACACGCTGTACAATTGCTGTCGTGTGGCACTTTGGGGGCAAAGCAAACCACAAAACTCCTTACACGGACGCGGAGTTAAGACTGGGTCTTCCGTACCCAGCCTAATGAACGATGAGCGAAGGCGGCGATTTACCCACGTTCGGACCCCTCGTAGGTGTTCCGTCGGGGGGTAGGTACTAAATTTCTTGTGTATGCCAGATCTGGCGAGGAAACATATCTGCGCCACCTCCGCGGTGGCCAGATTCGCAATAAATGTGACGCCTGCTCGTCGATCGCGGGGTAAGTGTCGCTGTTCAAATATTGGATCGAGAAGGATTATCGTGTAATTGAGAATTATTCGTATAATGTAATCGTGAGTTATTCATATAATATGGTTACGGCGACTCGTCCAAATCAAGTCGCTGTAATGTGAAACGGCCCTGTTGTGAACAACTCTTTAGGAAATAATGGAAGATAGGGGTTGCCGCGGGATAGTGATACCAACAGACAATCGAAGAGTCGAGGTCGGACCGTCGAACGATCAACATTAGAAATTCAAAGATCTGTAATATAATTGAACTGTGCTGTATTATATTCTATATTAATTGTAACTAAAATGCCGCGACGCGAGAAAAACAGAGAGGTTCGCAACGTGGCGCCTACTCGTCAAGCGCGGGGTAAGTGTCGCTATTAAAATATTGCTATCAAAAATATTTATCGTATAATTGCGAATTATTCGTATAATATAATCGTGAATTATTCATATAATTATTCGCGTTTTTTTGTTTGTTCGTTTTATTCCGTTTTATTGCCTCAAAATATTCTAAGTATCTTGAAATTTCAGAATGTTTTTCTTTTTACTGAGATTACAACTTGAACTTAAAATCACTACTTTTTTACGCGCAACGAGTATACTCGTCGTGACACAAAATACAGTAACGTCTCTCTAATTGACGCTCGGATTGTCCACAAAATTGGACAATTTGGGAAGAGGAAGATACGATTATTAGCAGTCACCGATTGTCAACAATTATAAAAATTAAGCGCAGCGCTCGGACAATCGTATCTCCTCTTCCCAAATTGTCCATTTTTCTGCACAATCCGAGCGTCAGTGACGCCGCTTCTCCGTGACGAGTATACTCGTCGAACACAGCTAACTGGTTAAGTTCGTCATGATCTTTCACCCTAGAGATCGATTCTCTTCTATACCGAGATTATTGCAATTTATCAGTCCGAAAGAATAGTCACAGTATCATCACAGAATCATCAATCGACGGCACGAGACAAGAGAATCGAGAGAAACTCCACGCTCAAGAAAAATCTATGACTACCGTAACAATTATCGATTCTACCATGCAGATCTTTATAAATCCACGACACGCCGATTTCTAGCAAAGAAAAAGCTACGATTACGATTCGTTCGTTGATAGCGTACAAAACCATCTTAATCGGCAGAGCGCAGATCTTTCTGCAAGATGAAAACGTTCCACTGGAATCGCGAGAAAATTGAGTAACGCGAGCTGCTGTTTTCTTCCATGATAGATTCTGAAGTTCCTCGAGAAACTTTACATCCAAGAAATCGTTTGCATCACCGATCGTTTTTACGTTGTAAATCTTTATAAAACTACGACATATCCGTTTGCATAGAAAGAGCTAATGATCCGATCTCTAATAAAAAAAAGGTACAAGATCAATGATCGATAGTACGCAGAACTTTCTGCAAGAGAAAAACGTTTTACCTGAATCGCGAGAAAATTGAGTAACACGAGCAGCCGTTTTTCTCGGTAATAGATTCTATGAAGTTTGTAACCAATAAACTGTGAACTTTGCTCCCAAGACATCGTTTACATCATTGATCGTTTTCATGTTATAAATCTTTATAAAACTGCAACATATCCGTTTGCATAGAAAGAGCTACTGATCCGATCTCTAATAATAAAAAAAAAGGTACAAGATCAATGATCGATAGAACGCAGAACTTTCTGCAAGAGAAAAACGTTTTACCTGAATCGCGAGAAAATTGACTAACACGAACAGCTGTTTTTTTCTATGATATATTCTAAAGTTCTCCGAGAACATTTACACCCAAGAAATCCTTTACATCACCGATCGTTTTTATGTTAAAAATTTTCATAAAACTACAACATATCCGTCTGCAAGGAAAGAGCTAATGATCCGTTCTCCAAAAAAAAAATACAAGATCAATGGTCAGAAGAGCGCAAATCTTTCTGCAAGAAGAAAACATTCTACCTGAATCGCAAGAAAAGTGACTAACACGAACAGCTGTTTTTCTTCCATGATATATTCTAAAGTTCTTCGAGAACATTTACACCCAAGAAATCCTTTACATCACCGATCGTTTTTATGTTAAAAATCTTCATAAAACTACAACATATCCGTCTGCAAGAAAAGAGCTAATGATTCGTTCTCCAAGAAAAAAGATGCAAGATAAATGGTCGGAAGAACGCAGATTTCCTCTGCAAGAGAAAAACGTTCAGCCTCAATCGCAAGAAAATTAACAAACCAACTAACAAAGCCGTCTCTTTCTTCCATAGATTCCAAAAGTCTTCGTTTCACACGAGTCCGTAAAATCCGCGGTAGAATCCTAAAGCAATCGCGAATGCCAGAAGAAAGAAGTTAGGCGGTTCTTTCCCGGCAGAATCGAAATCATCCGCGATCCTCGCGTAATCCTCCGACGAGTCGGTGACGAGTCGGTGACGATCCCCAGAGCCGGGTCCACGTAATTTCTTCAGAATGCCGAAGGAAACGTGCACAACAACTGCGCGGCATGGCGTTGCAGTTGCGGCACGAGCCGTGGAATCGCGTATAATTAAGACGGCATATCGTTGCATCATCGAGGGAAGCTGGGTGGAACACCGGCTCGGGCATCGAGCGAACGTCAAGAAGAAGAATAAGAAGCGAGCGAGCGCGCGCGCGCGCGTTTATTTTATTCGGTATCGTCTTCCTTGGTCGGCGCCGCGAAACAATTATTATTCTATTAGATCGGCCGCGATAATTAGCCGGGAGAAATACTTCTAGGATGAATTAGTCGAACGCCGGCACGGTCGGCGCGAGCATGCTCGTACGCTTCGGGCTCTCGTCTGGGTAACAGTACCGGCAATTATTTCAACTACGCGTCGACTGCCTCGCTCCGGTGAATTATATGTGTTCAAGCTCGCCGGCGTCCCTCCGCTCCGTTGCCGAGAAACTGTTCCGACGGAACGAAAACGGTGACACGGCCGCCGCGAATCCGCGCGAACGATGCCCGCCGTCGTCTCCCCACGGCGTGTCCTGAACTTTTGCGGAATATTGTATATGGTCACGGTCAATCGTCCGACCGTTCTACTTTCTTCTACGATCCTCGGCGTCCCATAAATCTCAATCGACATTTTCGCGCGCCGCGCGAAAAACCCCGCGCGACACCGCTCGAGTCCGCTCGAGTCCGCGACTCGGCGTCGTTCAGTTTCTCGCTCGTATTTTCGCGGAGCTTCGACGAGCCGTGCAAAAGTCTCTCGCGGCTTTTAAACAACTCAATGAGAGAGAGAGAGAGAGAGAGAGAGAGAGAAATAGAGAGAGAGAGAGAGAGAAATAGAGAGAGAGAGAGATAATTATGCAAAGCGTCGCGAGTAATTGCGGCGCAACGATTTTCACTTCGAGCATAATTGCCGTGAACAAACCCATAAACTATTGTCTCAGCGGTTGCGCGAAAATCCTCGGAAATAGTTGCACAAATAGGAGCCGAGCATTTTTGCTCTGCGAACGAAAAGCGGGTATCTTCGTCTGCAGGATCGAAGCGTTCTAAAGCGATAATTGTCGCTCAAGTTCTCGAGAAGCAGCCGTTTTTTTGTATGCAATTGTGGACGCACGATCGACGCTCAGAAATATTCGACGTCGTCCATATTATAGTAATGTCTCTCTAATTGACGCACAGATTGTCCACGAAAATGGAGAATTTTAGGGAGAGGAGATGCGTTTTCATAGTTACAAATTGTCAAGAAATATAAAAACGAGCTGCAAGGCTCGAATAATCGTATCTCCTCTTCCCAAACTGTCCATTTTTGTACGCAATCTGAGTGTACATTACTGTACAGTAATGTCTCTCGAATTGACGCTCAGATTGTCCACAAAAATGGAGAATTTTGGACAAGGAGATACGATTGTTCAAGCCTTGTAGCTCGTTTTTTATGGTTATCAACAACTAGAGGATATCACAAAAATGTCTCGCAATCCGGAAATGGGAGGTTCCTGGGGTTATTTGAAGCAACTTTGTCCTTAGCGAAAATGCAATCCGCGGCTTCGTTTACGAGTTATT